AAAAAAAAAAAAAAAAAAAAAAATTAAGTTTTCCCTAACAGCCAGGTTGTATGGGGACTTTGGGAATTTTGAAACCATTTTAGCTATGAGCCCATTTCCTTCCCATATATTACGTTGAGCCCCTTGGGTACCTACCACTGAAGTAACACTACTGCTTTATAAACAGCTTCACAACCACTGATCAGACAGGGAGGAGATGCCAAAAGTGAGCACCATCACACACCTGAGACACATGTCACTTTTAAGATGCGTGGGGCTCAATGTCTTTAGCTGCTATGGACTGGTTTTCCAGTACCAACTGGCCATTCCTTTGTGAATGAAAAATACTCCCAGGACATGGACTTAATATCTTTTTTCTGCTGTCTCTTCAACTCTCTTGTTTGACAGCCCGCAGCCCACCCCAAGGATTAGAAATGGGTGTCTACCTTGTTCTCCAGCGAGTTGAACACGTTCCTCATCTCGTTGATTTTTTCATGAAGCTGCTCTAGAGAGGTTATGATCCCTCCATCCTGCCGCTGGAGACGGGCTCCCACTGGAGGCAGGTTCAGGGAAGACTTGTACTTCGAAGCCTAGGGTACCACAGAGGGCATCTTAGGCTCAAAGAAATAGGGGAGAGGAGTCCGAATTCTTCCTATTTCCTGTTCTTAATTTCTGTTTCTCAATTTTCTTTACTTTCTTGGCTTCTTAACTCTTCTCAAGGTGAATTTTAATCAATGTCTTCCAATTTTTTTCCACCAAAGATCCCTCAGACTAAATTCTCATACATTATGCAAATTGTTCCCACTTGTTTTTTACACAGACTTGTTCTTCATTCTGTCCCATTATCAAGGTCAAAGACTACTATGGGGCAAATTCGGGGGACTGGGCCTGTGCCTTGAGAACCCTGCTGAGTCATAAATGTCAAGATTTGAAAAAACTCCAGAAGGCAGGCTGAATTCCTTCGACACCTGACTAAAGGCTCTGTGAGAAGCAGCACATGCTGGCAAGGATGCCAACATAATTTCTTTGGTTTCCCCCTAAACCAGGGTTTATAGAGAGGAAATGTGGTCTTTCTGCCAGCTTTCATATTCTTAATTTTAGGCCTCTTTATCAATCCCCATAAATGTAATAATTTAAAACACAAAGTGGGCAGCAAGTTGCCCGAATGGTCAAGAGCAAATTTCCCAAATCTACTCCTCTACACTCCCTAGAGAAGTTGATCCTTAATGTCATTCTTACTTCCATTCTTCCATTCTTAATGGAAGCTGATGTGAAGTGTGGCATGCTGGATATTTATCTTATCCATCCCTGAATGCACCACAGGCCTAGTAGAACTAATTTCTCTGGTGTTAGAAGATATTCCCCAATGGCAAAAAGAGACTGAGGCTCGAATAGGACTTACAAATCCTGGAAACTTACAATGACAATTTTAATGATGAAACCTATTGCTGTAGGACTGGTTCCCATGGTTTTTCAGTTAGGGGTCCTTTTGGCACATAATTCATTGGCTTACATTCTTTTCATTACAGACAAAAAGAAAAAAGAAAAAAAATCTCTTCGAATCTCCTTACTTTAATATAACCACGAATGTTTTGGCACATTTCCTTCTGCTTTGTTCTATGAATGTAAGTGCAGACATTTATATGGTTGAAATCACCCTACAGATATATTTTTATTCTGCCCCTCCTTTTTTTGCCAAACACTCTTATAAGCCTTTTCCTATAGCCTTCAAAATGTTTTCTATTTTTAATGGCCACTCAATATTCCATCCTATGGTTGTGCCAGAGTTTACCCATTCAGTCTTCTTGGAAATCTATAACTTTTAATAACTTTTCAATATTATAGATAGTGCTGGCATATAATGCTTTTTATTTAAAGCTTTGTATGTATTTCAGATTATTGCCTTAGGATAAATTCCTAAATATGAAATTACTGTGAGTTTAAGGATGTTAGGCAGTATTTGACCTAAAGGGCTAAATTAGTGTATTTAGAAAAACATGTCTTGGATAAAATACATAAAACATAAGTAATATAAGTGGAGGAAGCTACAGGATTTACATCCCTACAAGTAAGCCAAAAACACAGTTGGAATTCACATCATCAGGCAAGAGTTGAGCTGATCTAAATGGTGCAGTTACCACATCTGTTGCCTTGACTGGCAGATTCCACCAGCGCTGCTCATGTTAATGGACTGTTATTTTAAAGAATCCTTGTGCAAACGGAAGTAATCAGTCTGAAGCAACACAATCTGACTCTGGAAAAGAGATTGGGTAAACTTTGAGAGGCCTATGTACAGTGGACAAAGGATGAGATTGAAGTGGGATGGATTGGATTCCAATCAAAAGGAATGTGAGCTAAGGACAGTCAGTGTATCCACACAGATTCACCTGTTCTGGTAGTACTTCTGGAACGAACTGGGAGATAGTAGTGCTCGTTCTCCTGTCGGCTTCCATGACCTGATTGGGTCAATGTTCCTTACTCACCAAGGAGGTCAAGTCCATCCAAAGAACAGAGAGCCAATTAGAGGTATGAACATTTTAATACTTTCACTGTATTTTAACTAATAATTCTTACGAAAGCTTCCACCAATTTACACACACTCATCAGAACTAAATATTATTTCATTATTTGCTAATTAGATTGTTGTCAGCTTTGAAAACCTCAATCTTCTATTTATTAGCCATCTGTAATTTTACTTTGGTAAACTGTCTGTGTCCTTTGCCCATAATCTACTGAGATCTCTGAAGTTTCCTTTTTTTACTGACTTGTATCAACTATCTTTATATCATTAAACCCTTATGATATTTTCTTGTAAGAAGTTTTCCCATTTGGTTATTTGCCTCTGAATTTGTTAAAAATATATTTATGTTGGGAAAATTTTTAATTGTGATGTGGGTGAAATCTCTGGCCCTTTACTTTGTGATTTCCTCCAGTGCTGTTTTACTTAAAAAGACATTTCACACCCAGATACAAGAAAAATATTCACTAGTTCTAAACTTTTATGGTTTGACTTTTTTTATTTCTAGTCCTTTAATCCATTTTTTAGTTTATTTTGATTGGGGTATGAAGTAAGGATGTCTTCCTTTTCTTTTCCTTTTTTCCCAAAGAAGAACAAGACAATTTTCCCCAAAAGAAGCAGACAATTTTCCAAACATCATTTGGCACCAGACTGAATAAGTGCATCAGATCTCTTGGCTCAAAGCAATATACACATCTTGCAGATATTCATTCATTCATTCAACTAATATTTATTGAACATGCATTATATTCCAGGCACTGTACTTTCTTCTGAGAATACAACAGAGAGCAAAACGTACTAAATCCCTGCCCTTGGAGCTTACATTCTAGAGAAGGAGACACACAATTAAAAAAAAAAAAAAAGAAAGAAAAGAAAGAAAGAAACAAGTTAATATTTGCTATAATTTCAGGTAGGGATTGGGGTCTATCAAGAAAATAAAATAAAGACATAGAAAATGGCTGAAATATCATATTTTGCTTCAAATGTCATATTTTGCTCTCCCTTTTTGCTGTAAATTGTATTCTATTATAGTTAACCTCTCCCTGCTTCCCTCCTTCCTCTTCCTCTTCTTCTTTACTTCTCTTTCATCTTCTTTTGGTTAAATGTTGCTTGGAGTAAACAGACTGGGATTTAGGAAGCGTTCTTTTAAAACAAGGATGGGGTTATAATCACAGCATCACAGAGGTCATATAGACCAACTTCATTCCACTGCTTCATTTGTTCCACTGTGAACAGATGTACTTGGATTTGTGATACAATAAGAGAATGAGGCCACCCCCCGCTGCTGCTATATTTAGCCAACATTCAGGGAGTGACCTACATAAAACCTATAATAGATTTTAAATCATACCTCAGTTTAAAGACATACTCACACTCATTCAAATGCATACACAGGTCAGATGTGAACAGAGTGGAGGTGGGCAGGGAAGGCATTTGAAGGTCATAGATGAGTGAGGCATCAAATTAGCACTGAGGAAAGACTGACCCCTGCTTCCAGGCCTTTGTTCAAGCTGGCCCCTCTGTTTGAAATACCCTTCCCCATATCCACTTACCAAATGATCAACTTGTCCTTAAATGCCTCATTGAAATCCTTCAGCCAATATTCATTCATCACTCCCCCATATCAATGCCTCTGTGTAATCCTTCCAGTGGCCTGCCTTGTGTGAGCTATTTATTGTATATGTTTTCCAGGTGGTGGACAGTTAAAAATCAATTGTGAATGTTTGTTGCATCTGTTTTATTTTTCACTAGGCCAAGCAGTTGATTTTGCACATAGTAACTGCTCAATAAATATGTATTAAATTGAAATGAGGCTGTTTCCTCTACCCCTTTCCATTGCTGGTCTTGGTCAAGGAGCAATATGATTACAGAAATGTTTTCATAATCCTGTGTTGGCTTGCTCTGACTCAGCACACAGCGATGATATCTTGCATGATATTTCTGGGAACTATTGTTATTTTCACTTTACTTATCACTTAAACTCAACAAATCTAAATAACATTTCCCCCCAAAACTCTCCACTCTTCTGGATTCCTGTATCTCTTTTCAGGAGACCACTCTTTATCCTTACCACAGGTTAAAGTCTTATGGCCAACTTGAAATTACCCTTTCTGCCAGCCTCCACCAAGCCTTGTCAATTGTCTCTTCCTTCTCATGCTTTCCAGATAACAGTGCCTTAACTCTAGAGAGGAGCATGGATTTTCCTAGCCCAAGCTGCTTTTATATTACATATTATATCAGAATAAACTTCCATGATTTTTAAGGACAGAATTTTACTTTAAATTTACATTTAGAGATAGAAGCCAAATAAACACTGTTTAGAGAGCCAAAGCAGACCGATGCGACCCTTGTTGCAAACATATTATAAAATGTTTTGAAGAATTTTTATCTTTCTTGTAAATTATTTCCATTGTTTAAAAGGAGCTTAAATTTTTTTCTGTCACCATATTTGAACATTTGCAATGTTAACCCCCTTTCAGTTCTTAATGCTCTCTGCTAAAATAGCAAACTAAGAAAAAACAGACCTTGCTTTCTCCTTCTCTCTTACGGAAATGTTATTGCACAGTTTAATGGCCATAGTGATGGTGGCAACAGGCAAGACAAGCAGAGTTGATGGGGGGGGTGGGTAGCACTGTAATTTATAACCTGGATAAGTTGTCCTTCAAAAATCAGTTTGCTCAAAAGTACAATGTGAATGGTGCTCTCTGCCCCGCCTACCTCAGTCTTGTTAAGTTAACAAACACCAATGACAAATGTGGAAGCAATTGTTGAGTGCTGGAAAACTTTATACATAAATGACAGTCATCACTATTACATATAGGAGTGTTCAAAACAATCTAAGTTGTTTTACCTGGTAAATCTGTGTGGAAGGATTATTCATCGGTATATGTTCATTCTCTCCTGTGGGAAGAAAGAGCTTTGTTCAATGGACATGACTCATTCTGTCCCTATCCCCTTCACACACACGTAGGGAATAACGGGACTTCTAGGATCTTAAATCTGTGGCTGCATGACAAGAAACCAATGATACAAGAACAAAACATAAGCTGGTGTAGGTGGTTTCTAGATTCACATCCTAATGACCAAACCGTGTCTATCTGATATAACTCTTTCTTGTAGTAAAACAACAACACAAAACAAAAATGTCCTACCACAGTGGTCAAGTTTTGCAACCAAACTGAATGATGAATGCTCATTAATCAGCCAGAAGGGAATGCCCATGAAGGTTTCCCTCCTGTCCTTGGGGCTGGTGGAAGTTTACTTGAGAGGGTATTCTACAATTAGGAAGGCTACCCCAGCACCTGTCTAGTTGTCACTGTGTTGTTCTCAGGAGGCCTGCATACAATGTCCTTGCCAAACTTCTGAGCTCTCCCCTGCTGTCACTGCCCAGATCACCTAAGGCAATCTTACCGTCTTCCTGGGTAAGAGGGTTGGTAGAAGGGAATTGTCAAAGGAAAGATTCTGGGAAGGATGCAGGCAGAAAGAAAATAGTATTGGCAACACTAAAGACTGAGAAACACAGGGCAAATACAAAGGAAATAGCAGGTTGTAAAAACCACTTACAAACTAGGGAGAAAAAAGGTTGGCTTACAGTGTACCTTGCAGAACCACACTGGTTGGCCATGAAGAAGGACAATCCAAGTAAAACATGCAGCTCATTTGCTCATCCATTTAGCTATATCTCCATTGTGTCACTCTGCAGTTTATAGATTAAAGCCATGGTTGGGGCGCTGAGTGGCTCAGTCGGTTAAGCATCCGACTTCGGCTCAGGTCATGATCTCGCGGTCCGTGAGTTTGAGCCCCGCATCAGGCTCTGTGCTGCCAGCTCAGAGCCTGGAGCCTGTTTCAGATTCTGTGTCTCCCTCTCTCTCTGACCCTCCCCCGTTCATGCTGTCTCTCCCTGTCTCAAAAATAAATAAACGTTAAAAAAAAAATTTTTTTAAGCCATGGTTGCGAATATTTGGTTGTGTGGATGTATATATTGTTCACTTAAGATATGGTGGTACAGAAAACCCTTCCTTAGAGGAGCCAACCTCTAAATAAATATAAATAACAAATAATACATAACCTCAGCCCAGAGCGTACACAGACAGAAGGCTGTTCCTATAAAATCTAGATGGTTTAAGATCACCACAACTCCCCACACAAGTCTGAGTAAAGATTACTTAGCCCATTTTATACTATGTCCCAACAGCCTGGTACCATGGCAAGAACCAGAACATGGGAACCAAGTCCAGGCTCCCAGATCAAACTTTGACACTTTGTGATTGTAGCCTGACATCTCTATGACTGTTTCCTTATCTGTAAATTGGAGAGAATGACAGAAACTACTTCTGTATGGTTGATTCTATATGGTAAAGATGAAAAGAGAGAGCACTTATGTTTCTAGGCTAACCTAGAAGGTGTTGGGTGTTTATTAGTTGAATCTGTATCTTGGCCTTATTCAGCAGGTTGCTCTGAAGCAAGTCCCAAAATTATTGCTAAGAAAAATAAGATAACAACTCACACCAAATTATAGATACAGCATTTCCCACTTTTCCAGCACCAAGTCTGTGCTCTTTGTGGTCATTATATAATAAGGAAATGAGAATAGCCAAGGCAACTTATTCTCCTGTTTTGATACAATGGCAAAAGAAGACTGAAATCTACATTTCTTAAGTTCTGAGATCTAAAGCAAGACATTGGAAAAAATCTAACCTTGCTTTGTTTTGGTCTTTTCCATGGTGCCTGTTGCTTCTTTCCTCCACCTTACTCTTCAGCATTCCATCTTCATTGTCCCTGGATCAGGCCACCCCTTCTTCTCTGGACCTGCCCATTGAAATCAACAGGAAGGGTTAGCAGGCAGAACTGGTGAAGTAACTGGACTTACTTTATGTGCTAACTTAAAATGATTGGAATGAACACAGCTATTAGAGGCAACTTGAGGTTTATGTAATTTCAGAAGAGTGAAGATACTAAGTTCATAGCTAGTTTAAAAGGTAAAGTTAACTGGGGTGCCTGGGTGGCTCAGTCGGTTGAGCGTCTGACTTCAGCTCAGGTCATGATCTCACATCACAGTTCATGAGTTCAAGCCCACATCAGGCTCACTGCTGTCAACACAGAGCCCGCTTCAGATCCTCTGTTCTCCTCTCTCTCCCCTGCCCCACTTGCACTCTCTCAAAAATAAATAAACATTAAAAAAAAAGTTAGGGGCACCTAGGTGGCTCAGTCAGATAAGCATCCAACCCTTGATTTATGCTCAGGTCATGATCTCACAGTTTGTGGGTTCAAGACCCATGTCAGGCTCTGTGCTGACATCGTGGAGCCTGCTTGGGATTCTGTCTCCCTCTCTCTGCCCCTCCCCTGCTCACTCTATCTCTCTCAAATAAAAATTTAAAAAATAAGATAAAGTTTAAAAAATTTAATGTATAGTTTTTAATATATTCTTTTTTGGATCATATCAATTACTTTAGCCCCATTGATTTTATTAATAGGTTATATAGTTCAGGGAAATCATCTTAAGAAAAAAACATCTTGATGGGGTGCCTGGGTGGTTCAGTCAGTTAAGCATCTGACTTCGGCTCAGGTCATGATCTCACAGTTCATGGGTTCTAGCCCCACATCAGGCTCTGTGCTGACAACTCAGAGCCTGGAGCCTGCTTAATATCCTGTGTCTCCTCTCTCTGCCCCTCCCCTGCTCGTGCTCTGCCTCTCTCTCTCTCTCTCTCTCTCTCTCTCTCAAAAATAAACATTAAAAAAATTTTTTTAAAGAAAAAAACAACTTGAGCAAGTATGAAGGCCAATACATCACACAGTTAGCTCCTAGATGACCTTGTTCCCACTTTCAGCATCTGGCAGACTACACACTGGAGGTGCTTATCGAATGTGGCCTGGTTGTAGCGACCATTGGACACATAGCTGCGGGTTCAAAATGCGATTAAATGTCAGTGTTGTGGATGTTGGACCTCTTTTTGGCCATCTAGAACTTTAATCCTTTCCAATGATTGATCAACATATAATAATTTATAAATGAGGGATATCAAGAAAATCAAGGCTATATACTTTTGGGATCTTACACCCTTTTCACATGAGCATGAACATTATGTCAGGGTAGAGCATCTTCTCTAGTTATCTGAATGTCTTTTACAGCTGATGTGAGTGTTACTGAGATGAAAACTTTCTTCTCCTTAGCAGCTGTTCCTTTGTTTGACAACTAATGCATTCTTTGATGTATGTAAATTAAATCATGAAATATTAGAGCCAAAGGCCCTGAGAAAATTATTTCGTCCAGCTTCATCATTTATAGGTGAAGCAACTGAGGTCTGGAGAGTGGAAGAGAAATGACCTGCCCAAAGCCACACAGCTTTGAAAATGACTTTTAGAAGTGATTTCTGTTACTGTTTAGAGGGAAAAAAAGCTTGAAATATGTAAAGCCATGTTTTTATGGCTAATTACTTCCTAGGGATTTAGTTATCTAATTTACAAGTCATTGAAAACAAACCAAAAATACCATTCATATATCATAGATATAGTGGAAATTTACACATTTTCAGAGTTAGGACATCATCAAGCTCACATATGTACACATGCTCATGGATTTCAAGACATAACCAAAAGAGTGTGGTTAATATAGGGTATATAAGAATTTTTATTTTATATATTTAATTACAAAAGTAACAAAACTACATTAGAGAAAATTTGGAAAACATAGAAAAGACAACTCTAATGCCTTCACTTAAGTAGCCATGATGATCATTTAGTTGTATTGCCTGCCCATCTTTCTTTCTCTTGAATGCTTTACATGATTGTTCATGGACCTACTTGTATCTACTATTTCACCTGCATTATAGCACAAGCATTTTACTTTCTTTTTAAAAACTGGATCATTGTTGGGGGACCTGGGTGGCTCAGTCAGTTAAGCATCCGACTCGGTTTCGGCTCAGGTCATGATCTCCCCGTTCATGAGTTCAAGCCCCGCGTCGGCTCAGCACTGACAGCACAGAGCCTTCCTGGGACTCTCTTTCTCCTTCTCTGTCTCTGCTCCTCCTCTCCTCTCTCTGTCTCTCAAAATAAATTAATTAAAAAAAATTTTTTTTAACTGGATCATTGTTACTCATGGTTTTTTTTGTTGTTGTGGTCACTTTAGCAGAGAGTGGCAGCATTCCTCCCCAGTCCCAGTTGGTGTTAACAATCTGCCAGTGTTCTTCCACTCTTCTCTCCATTTTCATATCACCATGTACAAACATATATACAGAACATACATGTCATGGTAGTATCCCACTACACCTCCCTGCATCTTATTTCTTTCATGGCAGTCTTTCCAAGTTAATGGGTGTAGAGCTAATAAATTATTTTTCATGGCTGCACAATACCTGAGGTGTGAATGACCTATGTTAATCATTTCTGTATTGATGTACATTCCTTCTATTTCCATTATTTTGCCACTGCAAACAATGCCACAACAAACAGCTTCGTACATAGAGCCCTACATATTCATGCTTTTAATTATGTGGGATTTTAATAGATATGACTAGGCTGCTTTACAAAAAGGCTGTAACTGTTCCCATATCCCCCAGGAAAACTGTGTGAGTACCTTTTCTCCTGCATCCCATCCCGGCCAATAGTAGATGTTAACACTTTTTAGTTCTTGCCAGTCAGATGAGTGTGACAAGGGATATTTCATTGTTACTTTTGCTGATTGCTAGAGTTACCAAGCACCTCTACGTGTCCTTCCTGTACATTTAGATTTGCTGTTTGGGGATTACCTATTCCTCTGCTTTGCATATTTTCCCATTGAGTCATCTGTCTTTTCCTTATCAATTAGTAAGAGTTTTTATATTCTAGAGATTAGATTTTTATTTGTCATGTGAATTTTGGTTATTTTTCCCAACTGTCTTTTTTGTCTTTTGACTTTGCAGTCACTTTTGCTATTAAAACATTTTTGAATTTATGAAGTCAAATAGAACTTTTTCCTAATTTACTTCCTGATTTCTTGAGCTGCTTTAAAAGTTCTCTGTATCCTACGACTCCTGGATGGCTTAGTCAGTTAAGCATCTGACTCTTGATTTCAGCTCAGGTAATGATCTCACAGTTTGTGGGTTTGAGCCATGTTTCAGGCTCTGCACTAACAGTGCAGAGCCTCCTTGGGATTCTATCTCCCTCTTTCTGCCTCTCCCCTGCTTGCTCTCTCTCTTTCAAAATAAATAAACATTTAAAAAAAATTTTTTTAAAAAGCTCTATGCAGCCCCAAGATTTTATATGTACGTTTCCCTAAATTTTCTTCTCAGGCTTTCATTATTTTTAAGTGTTTCATTCATTTGGAACTTGTTATTATAATATATGGTGCAAGGGAGTGTTAATTTCTTTATTTTCCAGATGGATGGTCAGTTGTACTGGCACCAGCCATTACATAAGCCATCCTTTTCTTTCATGGAATTGAATATTACTTTTGTCACGCAGAGATCTTTTATACGTCCTCTATCCTATTCTGATCTATTTCTGTTCCCAAACCACAAACTATGACTGTTCTTCTGTGTTTTAAACATATTTGGTAAGGCAAGTCAACTATTATTTTTTTTTATAATTTGCTTTACCTGACATTTATTTTTCCATGTGAATAAATGAACTCCAAAGTCATTTTACCCATTACAAAAAAATTTAAATTCTCATTGGAAATGCATTAGATTTATATATTAATTTGGGAGAACTGATATTTTCTTACATCAGATCTTGTCATCCTTGAACATGTATATTCTTTCCATTTGACTGGATCTTGTTTTAGGTCTTTCAATCAGATTTTATTGTTTTTTTCTTAAAGATCCGGTACTGTTCCTGTGAAATTCATTCTTAAGTATTTTTTATTGCTATTTTAAATGGTATTTTTTCACTTCTACTTCTAGCTGGTTTTTGTATTCTCTATTTCTTTGCATATTTATTTTACATTTAGCCACCTTAGTAAATTCCTTTATTAATTATGGAAGATTTTTTTTTTCAACGTTTTTATTTTATTTTTGGGACAGAGAGAGACAGAGCATGAACGGGGGAGGGGCAGAGAGAGAGGGAGACACAGAATCGGAAACAGGCTCCAGGCTCTGAGCCATCAGCCCAGAGCCCGACGCGGGGCTCGAACTCCCGGACCGCGAGATCGTGACCTGGCTGAAGTCGGACGCTTAACCGACTGCGCCACCCAGGCGCCCCATAATTATGGAAGATTTTTAAATGAGTATTTATTCAGCTTTCTAAATTTTTTTTAAAGTTTGTTTGTTTGTTTATTTATTTATTTATTTTTTTAGTAATCTCTACACCCAATGTGGGACTTAAACCCACGACTCCAAGATCAAGAGTCAAATGCTCTTCCAACTGAAGCAGCCAGGTGCTCCCTTTCTAGGTGATTTTTATCCTTATTTTCAAATATTTATACTGGTTATTTCATTGTCCTATCTTATTGTATTTGTTAGAGCTTCCAGAATAATGTTTACTAATAATGGTGATAGTGGACATCATTATCCATTTTCTGATTTTAATGTAAATGTCTTTAAAGTCATTTAGAATGATGCTTCTTATTTGGTAAATCATCTCTATCATACTTAAGTAATTTCCTTTTAGTTCTATTTTACTAAAATTTCTTATTAGGAATGGATACTATATTTTATTAGTACTCTCAAGAGCTATTGATAGAATTGCTTTTTTCTCCTTTATTATTTTAATGCATTATGCTGATTCCCTGATGTTGAATCATCCTTG